TAGAGATCACTTTTTTTTGCAGGAAGGAGCACAATTGAGCAGACACAACTTTCCATGCATACTTTTCATTTTTAATCAAAATGTCATAATTGGATCTTTTGATTACATGACTTCTCTTTGGCGACGTATACCAGATTTATCCAATCATTTATTTTGCGTAAACCAGTCCTTTTCTTCCAGTTGAATGCAAGCTCACATTCAGATCTGCCTCAAAACCAAGTTACCGCCCCTAAATATTTATTCTTTTTTTTAAATAATCTGTTTCATGCAAGTTACAATATGGAAGAAATGATCTGTTGCTGTATACCACATCTATAATGCCACAGAGGAATGATATCATTGGAATCACTTTCAGCAATTTTTTTCAGGTGATGAAGGACAAAATCATGGTTAGACAATCATAATCCATCCTGCTTTAAGAGCTTGAGCTTTTAAAGCAGCAGATAACATAGCAGCTTGCGCTTATAATAAACGGATGCTAATATAGTTATAGTTAATAATTGTTCTTGGTGTAAACGGGCCTTTATGGAATTAAATTTCTGTCTGTTCCTCAAGCAAAATTATCACATGCTTTCTATAATAATATGGGCCACTTTTATGAAACTTTTAGGGAATTTTTGTAATTTTTGAAGTTTGAGAGCCCCTATTCATTATATGGAAAAGAGCAGCATAAACATTTAGCTAAATACCTTCTTTTGGCTTCCACAGAATAAAGAAAGACATACGTGTTTGGACTAACATAAGGACAGGAAAATGCTGACAGACTTATAAATTATTCATGTCTAAGACATGTCATCTACAATGTTTACAGCAAGGCCCAATATTATCTGTGCTGGAATCAGGCCATAACACAGAGGAACCCAAGAGGCACCAGACAACAGATCCAGTCTTCTGATAGCAGTATTCTTCTGAGAGCCTCCAAGAACAACATGACATCCTGCTGGGAGAGGGAGCTTATTTTCCTGTTATATTTTCATAAGCGTATATGCATTCATTGGTCAATTTAATAAATAATTGTAAATGTCAATTTCGTTCAAATACCTGTTTAGAGTGTGCTGTGGTTTAGTTAATGAGAGCAGCGTGTGACCTGTGCGTTCAGGAACACCTCAGAGAAACGCACAGTCTGTTTAGGCCACCGCTGGGAACTGAACTCAATTTCAGAGCTGTAATTTGGGCTATGATGCACACTCACACACACATACATCTGATTTGTAATTAAAGGGGCCATATGACGTTGCTAAAAACGTGTTGCATCGCACCGCGTAAACATAAAACCATGTCTGCATTTGTGATCAGAGAAACCACAAACAACAAGCGCTACTCTACACTGCTCAAAACTCGCGTTTGAATAATCAGTGGCAAATTCTCTAAATATGAAAACGTACTTACAGGCTGTAAGTCAGAACAGCCGGCATTGTAGTCTACTCTACCAGGAACAGGAAACAGTAGAAAATGAAGCGTTTGAGAGAGGCGGGGCATATAGGACCTACAATAATGTACAGTATTTGAAAAATAATGTGTTTTTTGAACATTAAAGCATGTCAACATATTCTGTTACACCAAACAACAAAATAATGATCTTTAAAAACGCATCATATGACCCCTTTAACTTTTATAAAGAATATCGCTTTGGGTTTGAGACTTTAGTCGTTGCAACTTTAAGGATCTTATCTATTCACTAACAGTTTGTAACACTCCAAAGAGAAAGGAAAACTTGAAATCGCATCATATGACCCCTTTAATTGTTGACAGGACTGAAAATCTCATCTCTCCATGGTACTAAAATTGCATAGGAGGTGGCACATGTAAACCCACGTTTGTTTTGTTAACAGGGTGGTGACGTTTACTGTATTTAGCCTATATGGTGCTAACATTATCTATACCTTAACCCTACACTGATATGTGACCCTGGACCACAAAAGCAGTCAAAGGCAGGTATATTTGTAGCAATAGCCAACAATACATTGTATGGGTCAAAATTATCAACAATTTTTTTTATTTTATGCCAAAAATCATTAGGATATCAAGTAAAGATCATGAAGATATTTTGTAAATCTCCTACTGTAAATATATCAAAACTTAATTTTTGATTAGTAATAATATGCATTGCTAAGAATTTCATTTGGACAACTTTAAAGGTGATTTTCTCAATTAGATTTTTTTTTTGCACCCTCAGATTCCAGATTTTTAAATAGTTGTATCTCAGCCAAATATGGTCCTACCCTAACAAACCATACATCAATGGAAAGCTTATTTATTCATGTATAAATGTCTAATAATTGACCCTTATGACTGGTTTTGTGGTCCAGTGTGGCTGTGGAAACAAACAGTTTTAACAGACCTTAACTCTCTGACTGTCATGCAAAAGGTTGGCTGTTATTTACTTATTACCTGAGTGTAGCGCAGCATTTGGGTCACGCAAAGACCACAGGCCTGGCGAGTGGATCTCTAGCACAGCGAACACAGCGACGGGATAAAAAATCACCTGCTTGATGTCACACTGAAAAGTCGCGCAACTTTGTGGAACGAAGAGCGACTCTCGCATTGCATGACGTGTAGACAACTATCGCTTAATATGGGACCGTTCACACGTCACAGATTTATCGACTGTGCGATTGTGAGTCCTGCAAATTATACAGTTGGTGCGATTATAAAATACGGATGTGACTTTACAGTATGTAAAAACAACAGCTCTAAAATAGAACTGAAAAAGTATTCCGCTACTGAATATAGTCGAAATATTATACAAAAATATATGGAAATTTTTACGCCTATATAGCCTATCTTAAATGTTGTTAGCATTTTGGTTACATTTTTCTGAGGTGAAAGTGAGGGTCTACTCAGTGGCTGACTGCAAATCCCTTCAAAAACACTTACGGTTTTCAGAAGAAAAACTGGCACAAACTAACAATGTCAAGCTATGTCAGTGCAATAATGAAATAAGAATTAAAATCTACTAATCTAGTATTCTAATTTAAATGAAACACTATGGGACTCCCCAATTTGTGTCCTGCAGCCCCTCCTCAGTTTGAACACTGTTGAATATAGCCTCATAAGATTTAACTCAATTGTCCTTAAAGAATAGCCAACACACACAAAATTAAAATACAGACAGAAACCCAATTTGGCTGATCAAGTTTATTTGATCTGCTTACCAAAGAGACAATGCCCGCAAACATAAAACAATGAACAACTCCTTCATGATTAACTAAAATGTATAATGACAGCAAGTGTCATTGTTACCATAATTATTCTTTCTCTTACCATCATCATCATTATTAATAATATTAGTATCATTATCTTCATATTAAGTGACATTTTCTTATGTTTTGTATTTTAAAATGTAATAACATGAAATGATCCCTTAAAAAACATGATGGACACATGGCTGTGGATAAGACACTAAGTAGAAAGGAGGGGAGGAGTGTAAATCTGCATGGAAAGGCTGGTCCATAAGGCTCCAGAGTCAAAACTCGTCCCGTAAAAGTGAGTCAATCGCCCTGATAGGCACCGTTTTCCAATCCGCACACACAAACACATGATAAACCTTACAATGAAAATAAAAACAGCATAAGTCACATTTAAAAGCACAGTATGGCAGTGGAAATTAATAGCTCATGGGTGTGAAGAGAAGTGTCAGTTGGCGTAGTGATGGCATGAGAGAAACGAGTTGAGTGAGGCTAAAGTAAAGGATGCCATCATTGTGCACAAGGAGGTATAAGAGCATAGGAGGACGAGAGTAACCCGGGTTTATGATTCCTTTGTCATGATCGGTTTGGAGTTGCAAAGTCACTTCTTCCAGTTGTGTTCTTAAATAAACATATTCAGTTCCCTTCATTACCCGGAGATTAATTAGAAAGTACCTACAGTACAGTGCCTTCCGTTTCTGTTGCCTTGAGTTCATCCTCTTTGTTTTTTTTGTCTTCCACAACCCTGATTGCCATTTCAGGGAGACTCCAAGTCCAAGCACCAGAGTTAGGAAGGTGTCCCAAAACCCTGTGAAGAACCCCTAGACAACACACACCGACACACCTACATGAACACATTCATACACACTCACACACAAAGTGCATTCCCATACGGGTGGTCCAGGGTTTCCTCATTTCATAAACAAGAGTATTTGCACTGTCTTTGTCTCAATCTACGGCGTCTTAAGAAGTTTGTCCGCTTCTGGGTATGTGGGATACTTCACTGTCTCAATCTTCTCTTTGACTTTATAAGAGGGGTAGAGGCCTGTGCGGCCTGTTTTGCGGTTGATGCCCTTGGAATATCCATCCCAATGGTTGCCCGCAATGCCGATCACATCTCCAGGCTCAAGCGGGATGTCGTCGCTTTTGCGTGGTTGGTGCGGGTAGATAGCGATCTGGTTGTGGGCGTTCTGCCCACCGAAGTAGTAGATGTCATCGAGGGAATAGAAGAAGGAGGAGGCGTCTGGGTGGAGTGTCTGCATGATCTCGTAGGCCACTCGACACACCTGCGCACAATGGAAATGAAAACAAAGACGCATTCACAAGCTGCTTTCAAGCTGAATCTTCAGAGCAGAGTGGAGTTGAGTTAAGAGGATATGCAGGTGCACCTGACAAAGATGAATGGACTTTACAATGGTTAAGCGCTACTCATGAAAAGCTGAAGTGAAGATTAAGGACTATTAGAACAAAGTAACCACAGACTGCTCATGACCAGTCTAGAGCATACGGCACATAAAAATGTCAAGATTGCAAATTTCATTGCTTGGATCTGACTGGCTGGCCTTTCTGGGAGTTTTTAATCAGTCTGTCAAAAAACAAAGTCTTGTTTTCAGTGGATCAGCCTGCTATAATGATGGATTCAGAGGAGCCACTGGACAAAAAGTTGCCTTTCTAAAGCTGGACACGCTGTAAGATTTTGATGGTTCTTTACCATTGTTGATAAGTCTACAACGGGGTAGCGAACCCTGCTCCTGGAGGGCTACCGTTCTGCAGAGTTCAGCTCCAAACCTAATCAAAGTTTTCAGGTTTTACTTGAAAATAAAAGGCAGGGTGGAGCAGGTTTTGGATTGAACTCTGCTGAAATGTAGTCCCTCCAGGAGCAAGGTTGGCTACCCCGCTCTACAATATGACTCGAGTGAGATCTTGGTTATACGTTTTGGTACACTGTGACATCCACGTATTTTATGTCCAAGTGTACGATATATATTGTAGCAAAGACTTTGATCCCAATTGTCCTGTTGAAAACTGACTTAGAAGACTGATCATAAAGGCGACAAGTCTTCAGCCAATGAATATGTCACACTAAACAATCAAATATTGGTGATCAATAATATACAAATATTATTTAATATAATTGATTTTGCTGGCCAAAATCGACAGCTAAAAACTGCACAGTGTGAACCTGCACAGTGTGAAGTGGGCGATTCCTGGCCAGAATAAATGGGCCAGACTTTCAGCCGATAGTAAAACGTTTGGATCTGCAAGACTACTGATTGCTAGACATCATGTCTGGCATGAAAACTTAAATAACAACCCACAAAGTCTGCATTGTACTTGTGAGAGTACTTGTGAAGAATACGACATGAGTCTATCCATAAAAAAGTTACAATTTAACAAAGTAGACTGTAGAAGAAAGAAATGACCAAAAACCCTAAAGCAAATCCCCAAAATAATGTTTAAAAAAAAGTACAAAAAAATTAAGGGTTATCAAACAGTCAAGTCTTAACCCCATAGAAATGCTGTGGGAGGTTTGGGCATTTCATGCAAAAAAACCCTCACGAAAGTGCAAAAAAGGGACAAAAAGTTAGTGTAGGAGACGAACAGAACAAAAACTTCTACAAAAGTGGGTCAAACTGTACCTGTGAAGAGAAGGTGCACACTAAGAAGTTGGTCCTGGAGAGGAAGTGGATATCCAGGATGACTCCTCTCAGAGAGTTTTCAGTGTAGCGGTTGTGCAGCCCAGCCGACCATGAAATAGAATTATCACTAATAAATTCATAATCAGGATACCTGTACACAAACAAAAAACAAAAATGGGTTAAAAGGTCCTCCCTGATGGCACTCCTCTTACTGTGTTCCAAAGCCTGGTCTGCAGCCTAACTCGGGCACGTTCATGATGTCAAGGCTTTTCCAAACAGAGGGCAGCACTGAATGCATCATTTGCCGATAAAGGAATCCCAGAATGCACTACATGCTCAAATTTTCATATAAGATGGTGGAGGAAGATTAATTAAACATTTATTTAATTAAAAAGTAACAATATCACCCGAAATGTGTGTGCTTTGTATTTATTTATTATTGTATTGAGTATTGAGCTATTAGCATAACAACATGCTAACGTCAGATTGACTGTGACCGTTCACATCAAGAACAACACTTGTAAAGATAACTACTGTATACGGACAACTATATTAGCATTCATTAACACAATAATGTTCTGTTTTTTTATAAGCGTGCACTGCAATTATGCCATCTGCCATTTTGAATGCTCAAGCTCTTTAAAGACGGGTGGATTCTGATTGGCTGATTGTCTGTTTTTATTGTTTACCAGCTGAAATTTTTTTTTCTGAAAGTGATTCCAATTATATTGTTCCTCTGTGTCCTCACTGTTATAGCTGTGGCGTGGATTATTCTCAGAATAAAACAAATATTAAAAGTTTTGTTATAGTTATTGTCCTTGGTGTGAGCTACAATGTTGTTGCCTTGTAAAGTGTTTCATTTCAGTCATATGATGATGTTCCATGTTGGTTCCAAATTAGGGTATTAACAATTCTAAGATAGCTTCTTATTATTCTTGTCTAATATTTTCCAGTTAATTACCTAAAGGTCCTTAAAAGAAGATAAATTCAACTGCCAAGCAACACAGCATGAGATATTAAGACTTGTTTTCATAGACTGTATAAAGTGTGCTCACTTAGACTTGGCCTCCTGCAGTAGAGAGGGGTCATCAGTGGCGAGGTAAACCCGTTTCTTGTCCACATGCATGCGCTGGGCCAGACTCTGGTAGTGGTCCTCAACATGCACCATGTACTCTTCTATGGGGTGGAATGCCGCCTCCGTCCCTACCTTATCTGTCCGGCGCACATGCACCCTGGAGAGAAGAGCAATACCTGGGTTAGCCTGATTGTGTTTGTCCATGTGAGAAAGGGATTCAAGGTCGACAAAGAACAGGAAAAAATACAGACCAGCAGAATACAATTTCTTTCTATTTTTTTAAACAGGTGTTTAAAGGTTTTGCGCTTTGGGGTGCCGATTTTCTGAAAATGCCAACCATTATGTGTCTATGTGTGAGTGTAAGGATGGGTGGCTGAATAAAGTAAGAATGGTGTGTGTGCATTTCCTTTAACAGCCAAGCCTGAGGGCGGATCAGGTACTTGACAAACTGAGACACCCACCACACAGGTGGGTCCCCATGAAGCCTCTGAAGCCGGTCCGCAAGGTCTTCAGGGATGGCCAGGGGCAGGTACGGGGGACGAGGGTGCAGGCTGTCCACGATCGGCAACTCGATGACCTGAACATCCCGATCGTTTGCTTCACCTACAGACAATGCACAAGACAATGAGCGGAAGGAATGCACTGGAGAAATTAAATATTGTGGTATGGACTGTAAATTGGCCAAACTTGCTTTTCCAATATGAGATTAATTTACAATTATCAAGTCAATAAAGCTTGACGGAAGAGCTGCTCGCACGGAATAGAGCATGGGGCTAAAAACACGAGAGCAGGAGAGGAAAAAAAGACAACCTTAGGCCATAAACATACTACACATAGGTATGAAAACCGATACAAATGCTTGGTGAATACATTAAAAGCAGGCGGCAATCTGTGCATACTTTACATTACATTACGCTAACACCTTTGGCAGGCAGTTGTATCCAAAGTGACTTACAGTGTGTTCAAGGTGCAATTTTGCCAGTGAATATACGCCACATTCTTCAAGAATGTTCTCGTATTAGTGTGGCAGCAACAAACCTCAAGGGGGTGCGATGATGGAGTTCCCTTCAAATGTCTGTGCCATTACAATGGATGTTATTAGGTGCGTACATTCACATACAAGAGCATGTTTCAGGCCTTAGGGATGCACAATATACTGAAAGCCATAGTGGTGTTGGCCAATATGTGTGTGTGTGTGTGTGTGTGTGTATGTGTATGTTGCCATTTGTGAATAATGGCTCTCACTGTGGTTCGCTGGAGTCCCAAAGCTTTAGAAATGGCTTTATAACCTTTTCCAGACTGATAGATCTCAATTACTTTCTTTCTCATTTGTTTCTGAATTTCTTTGGATCTCGGCATGATGTCTAGCTTTTGAGGATCTTTTGGTCTACTTCACTTTGTCAGGCAGGTCCTATTTAAGAGATTTCTTGATTGCGAACAGGTGTGGCAGTAATCAGGCTTGGGTGTGGCTAGAGAAATTGAACTCAGGTGTGATAAACCACAGTTTTAACAGGGGGGCAAACACTTCTTCACACAGGGCCATGTAGTTTTGGATTTTGTTTTCCCTTAATAATAAAAACCTTCATTTAAAAACTGCATGTTGTGTTTACTTGTGTTATCTTTGACTAATATTTAAATTTGTTTGATGATCTGAAACATTAAAGTGTGACAAACATGCAAAAAAATAAGAAATCAGGAAGGGGGCCAACACTTTTTCACACCACTGTATATATATATACACACACACACACACACATACAGTATATATACATTCTAATATTGGCCAACACCAATACGGCTTCCAGTGATAGTGATGCCTAAAATTTAATTTACATATATATGCACATTACATTGGCAGTTGGCAGAGTGATGAATATATGCGCATTACATTGGTGGCTGAAACACTCTAGATCCGGATCAAAAGGCGCTAACTATTGAAAAATCCATATTGTTCAACCACTAGCATGAAGTAATGGAGAAAAAAAAAACGTTATCAGGAAAAAATGTCTTCAAAGAGACTGTGCGTGCCAGGTTTAAATTATGCCTTATGCAGCATTAAATGTTAAAAAGTATTTTTCACACAAAGAAGTGTTGGAGAAACTCCCTAGCCGTTCTTATATAACCTTGCTGTTAGGCTCTTTGCATGGGGATGAGGTTTTTCCAGCCCAGCACCCCTCATTGCACTGATAAACAAAATAACTCTCTCTCTCTCTCATCCTCATTAGAGCAGCAAGAGAATCTAAATTACATCTTGTCCTTGCATCCTGATGAATAAATTGAAGGGGGGGGGGGCTTCAAGGGAGGAGGCTTCTTTATTATTTTTAATTCATGCTATCTGTGCGCGTGAACCGCTGAAGCGACACTGATTCATTTTAATGCTGCGTGTGTTTGGATGTGCATGTTGCTGGGGGTATTTTCTCTAAATGCCAGCAGGATTATCCTGAAGGATTTGGTCTGCCCTTTGACCCCGTGCGTGTCATAACTAGAGGCATTAACAGGGTTATGTTATGTACATTATTGAGAACCGTCTCTCGAAAGCTAGACTACAATTAGGCTGAGTTCATTTGGTGCGTATATTATGAGAATCCAAGATGTTAATGGTAATGTGTGAAAACTGATGGCATGGCGTTAGCAATACCAAGGTCATGGGTTCTGTTCCCAGGGAATGTGAAAAGCAGTGAGTCCCAGCCCACTCTGAGCTCAGTCTTGAATATATTGTAAGTCGCTTTGGATAAAAGTGCCTGGCAAATGCATAAATGTAACGTAATGAGTTGGAATAGCATGTTTAATATAACTCGCTTGCTCAGTCTCCATCTCTGTCAATCTCGCTGGTCCATGGAGTGCAGAAACTCAGGCTTTAGGGTGAACTAAGAGAGATTGTGTCCTCTGGGAGGAAAGAGTGATGGGAAAGCGCTGCTTTGTTTTGAGGTCATTTCTTTCATGTTTTAAAGGCAGTCTCTCCTTCCCCTCCGCTTTGCTTTTAGAGCACAGCAGGTTCACTCCAGCTGTAGACCGATTCCTCTGAACACTGGGTTTAGCCTATTAGACAGACTCTTACACTGGGCCAGTGTATATAAAAATGACCATTAGTATGTTTCCAAAATGAACTTTTTAAATATGTCCATTATTGAATAAATGTTCGTGAATCTGTTGCATTTATGAAAAAACAACCCACTGACCATTACTCAGATTGACATTATAGACCAGCAAAATGCCAAAAAATCATGTGACTATGTACTGAGAACAAAAATGGAAAAATATTAAATTATATAAAATAAAAAAGTGCATCCTTAATCTCAACACAAGAAACAAACAGATGAAGTGTATCTTAAGGTCCCTCATCACAATTTTACCTGAACATTACCTGACTGAATGTAATTGACCCTTCATCAGGAGTTTGATTGACAGGCGATCTGATCAATCATAATGCAGAATCTGCCATTTTGTTAGACAAACTAACTAGACAGGAGAGTAGATTAAAATCGGTGGACTTGAACTTGAAAAACAGTGTGTATTGACATCTTTCCGCGGTTGAAACAAGATGGCCTCTGATGTTCATTCATGTTTATTTCATGCTAAAACTAGTAAAGAGGAAGAGATTATCGATTCACATGCTGCTTGAACTGAGGCGCTATAGCGATCTGTCACGACACATTAAAGAGCCACAAAATGGTATTTATTGTTTACATTTTTTTTTTAAATGACAAAATTTGAAAGCTGAGACTTTGTTTCATTCCAAAAGTAACCTGCTCTGTCTTTTCTGTCCACTTGTTGTCAGTTTCCTCTTTGCTCTGCGATGTATTTTGCACTGTGTGCAGAACATGATGTTTTTTAAAAATTGTAAAATAATCCCATTGCAATTCTAAATGATAAAAACAGCCTGTTTAATTCTAAGGATCAGAAAAAGGAGCATAGATTTGAGGGACATGTGTGTTACTGACCAGACCAGTGTCCAGTGGAGGCCCCCGTGCGGTCAGTGCAAGTCTCGCTAACGGGTTTAAAAACAGTCTCCCATCCGCCGGTGGCGTAGCGCCAGTTCTGCGACTCCAGTATGAGGGTGCGCTGTGTGCCATAGGCAATCATGAAGCAGTAGACCACATGATGCAGCTGGCAGCCATAACCACAACCCTTATTGATGTTACACACCAGCTTGCGAGCCTTGCTGCAATCCTGAGGGTTCTGCAGATACAAATCAGTAGAGAGAGAGAGAACTGAAGAGCTTTCTACACATTCAGTGGACACTTTTAGACGAGGAAATCACACTTAAAACATCTGGATTTCATTACATGTGTAGAAATACAGTTTGAGGCTGCTGTATATGGCATTTTTATAGCTCAGCAGGTTCCTTGATCTGCTCGATGTCAAAAACAGCACATGAATTTGCATTTGACAGCTCAAGTATGACTTCTGTACCGTGCTGCTCATGGAGACGTGTGCAGTATTATACATCTTTCTAGACCACCAGTAAGATAAAAAAATGATAGAATACAAACAAACAAACAAACAGAGAGAAACAGTTTTGTCAAGGTTTTTGAAACTCTCCAATCATCTCACGCATGAAAATATTTTTAGTATGTGCTGGAGGAAATGATAAATTTGGCTCTGACACCAGAAGAATATAATGTCTGAATGATCTTGGCTGGATGAAAGAAGACGAAACAAACAGGACGGAAAATGGTCCCTCCATCTATCGCTGTTTCTCTCGTACTGAGACAATAGAGAGGCGAATGACTGGAGTAAAGAGAAAGAAAGGAGCAAGAGAGAGAGCATTGTAGATAAGAGATGGATGACAGCAGTGTAGTGAGACAGACAGAGGACTGTCATTTCTCATAAGAGACACAGCTTCTTTGTTATCAACCTGTCTGTCTCTCACACACAAAGTAAAATACACTCCATCACTTTAATCACACTCCAGCTCTCATTACCGCTCTAACCTGTCTCTCTGATGGAGAGCACTGACATACAAAGCTATTAGTCAAAGTTAACATAGTACTAGTAGCACAAAAGTTTTCCTCTAGGCCAAATGACTAGGTTATAATACAGAGCAGTGTTTCCCAATCTTTGTCACCCATCAGTAAGGCCAAATACTTACGGATCATCAACATCAAAAAATCAGAAATGGGCTTCTTTTGCCTCATATTACACTGGTTTCATGTAGCATTATCATTAGTATATTAGTATATTTGAGACATTTAATGGGATAAAAATGAGTAATGTATGAGCTGTTGTAATTAGCCTCAACATTTAAATATGATAAAAATGATGAATGGATAAAAAAAGTATTGATGAAATGCATACATACAGTTATATTTTAGAAAACAGAATAAGGGGCAATAAATAGTCTGTTGTATTTTTCCATACTTATCCAGAACTGAAAATGACAATACTTCCATACTTATCCAGAAATGAAAATGGTGTATAACTGGAAAAAAGGGGAATTTTCTGTATTAAGATTATAGTAAATAAACAGACAATTAAATTTTCATTATTTCATAACAATATTTTTGCCACAAAAAAAACACATTGTCGTTCGCACAAGTCATTCAAATTCTAACTGCACCTAAACCCATATTTAATGTTTTTGTGAATGAGGAGTGTCCATTTTAGCATTTATCTCATTTGGCTAGCTTCTACTGAATGACTTGAATGACAAATACCAAATACCTACTGTAGAATTTGATTGGACATATATGGCCTTGAGCTTTAAAGTAAATTATATTGAAAGCCTGTTAATAACTAAGCCTATTAATTAAAAAGATAAAACTATTTATTTTGTTCTCCTATTATATAGCTGTATTTTATTATTTGCACTTAGCATTGCATACTGTACGTGCGACCCCTTTTTTATTTCATACCTCTGCTTTATGAAACTTAAAGATAACCACAAATATGCAGTTACAAATATGGAGATTATCAGGTAAAAGCATCAGTTGTCTAAAGCCACAATGTGTTGTTGATATTCCAACTGCAACTTCAGCATGTGACGGCAGTTTAAAGTCTTTCTGCAGGAGACGTTCAGGCTGCGGGTTAAACACACAGAATCAAGCTGAGCTCTGCTGATTACAGCCTGTGTGCTTGTGCGTGGCACTGCATTGTGTTGCAGCTGAATGTCAGTTTAGTCTCCAGTGTGGAGTCAGCGCAAAACAACCACCCCATCCCATCTCAGAGAGAGGGACAATATACTGCTGTCCCGCCAACTGCAATATAATCACCCCTCTCATTGATATATGGGGAGAGGGAAGGAGGATGAGGAGGAGGGTGAGTGAATGAATGTGATCTTGTTCAGCCATAGACTGTATTCAAAACAGATGCAATATTTAATTTGAAGAACAAACAAAACATGCAGTCAAAACCGAGGCTGGAAGGTTGGAAGTAGTGCCAAATGCTTTAGACATGGAGGGGGACCCCAATATCCATAAGAGCCACGCAAAATAGGTTGTTCAATGAAAATTTCTCACATTTTTACATTTAATCCGGCCCAATCTTGAAAGTTTGGTTTTATTTTTGCATAAAAGTAGAGGTCATTGAATATGTCATAATGTTGAGTACTTCCATCCCTTATAGCCGTCATTTGTTCATTTCAAATTAAAAATAGCATCCAGTGGTTGTGAATGAATCAGTGTTTTTTAAACAAATATTTTAAAGGGGTCATATGATGCGATTTCAAGTTCCTCTTCAGGAACTCGAGCTGCTTCGAAAACGCTAGGGGAACGCCTTCTGCGACCCACGCTCTGAATCACATGTGAAATCAGTCCAATAGCTGAACGGGACGTCACGGCGGATGACGTCATGACCAGGAAGCTATAAAAGCACGTGCGGCGGAGCCAGCGTCAG